CTCCCTGGATATTTTGTGACATTCCTATATGTTTATCAATATCTTTTTTGATTAGGAGTGTGACTCTGGCTTCTTTGTTATTGTTGTTCCAGGTTATATTGTATGTTGGGTGTTTCCAGTATCTGTGATTCTTATTCTGTATTTGTGTCTCTGTGAGAAAAGCAATGTCAATGTCATTAAGAGTGCAGTATGTAAGTATTGTTTATTGTTTGATATGATCATTAAGTTCTCTGACATTGTGTATTAGAATTTTCCATGATGTGATAGTCTGTTGATAAAGGGGTGGGTTATTGTCAAATTAGTTGTTTCCAGTGTGTGTCGATGTTGACTTCTTAGATTGTTTCTTGTTGGATCTAGTTTTGTTGCTCATCTGGATTGTTGGATTGAGAGTTTGTATTTGTTGTGATATCGATGAGTTGGTTAAGTGTGCCTATTATATCTTAAAAGGTATTGTCAATGCTTGTTATCCTTGTATTGAGATTAAGTTGTTGTTTCCTGATGTCTGAGTTGTTTACTGCTGGGCTTGTTGCTTGTCTTTTTCATTAGTAGTTAAAATCCCTAGGTTCTAGAGTTTCTGACTGTGGTAGGTTTTGATTTAGATATTCTTTGCCTGTGTTGATAACTGTTTTCATTTGTTTTTCATTGTCTACTGTATAAAAGTATATGAAGTCTTCCAGATTTTCAATTCTGGTATGTGGTCAGTAATTGTTTCTTTGATTTGTTTCAGCTCTGCTCCTATTGTTTGGATGCCTTGAGAACTTCTGTTAGCGATAACTGGAGATTGATTATTGTTGCTAGGTTCCCTGCTATTAGGTTTGACGATTTGTTGGAAAGTTGTTTGGCAATATGTGCAAATGATCCTTTGTCTAAAAACTGGTTGGTGGCCTTGTTAAATTGTTCCCAAGCTCTGAGCCGATCATGGTTTCCTGTCTTGTTAGCTTGCTAGTTTGCAATTTTTCTGATTTGTATTGTTTCTTCAGGTTTGAAACGTTGATAAAGTATCTTATATCTTTTTGCTTTTTCTCTGAAGACTTGTTGTTTTTCATGATGCTTGGCCTTAATTGTGTATTGTGCTACCAGATAGTCAGGTGAGTTGTAAATTGTATAGAGTTTTTTATCTATTTCATGCCATTGTAGTAATGTTTCACCTAGGTATGCCTCTTTGTTTTTGGCTTTTTCTTTTTTTTTTCAGTGTTACAAAATTGAAAATAGCGAATCATTTTCTTGTGTAGTTTCAGTTCTAGGGGATGTGGCACGACACTGTCTTAGTGTTGTTAATTATTTCACGCAAGTCATATCCAGTGGTACCTGGTGGAAAGTTTGTGAGTCTGAGGATATACCTGTCTTGAAGTAGCTTGGTTTCATAGATTTTGAGAAGTGGGTAAATTCTCAAAAGTTCTTCTTTAAAAGGAATATTCTATCTTTCCATGATTTTGTTATAGTCTTCTTGTTTTTCAAATTTGGCTAATGCACTTTGTCACATGCCTGTGGTGCTCATTTTTAGGCAACGGATTTGCCCGAATTGGTCAGTTTTTGTTTAATTTCTTGTTAATTGGTATCCAAAGTGATGTTCCAGATGCAAATAGATTTGCTTTTGGCTGCTGTTGAGTCAAAGTTGGCTAGGATTGTTATGCGGTAATCATTGCCTTGCTGGATTGTTATTTTGCATGTTTTTTGTACATTCTTTTGATTGGCAAAGGAGGTGATGATCAATTTTGCCTCCTGTTGCTATGCCATCTGGATACTTGTATAGAAGTTCAGGTGAGTGACTGCTTTTTTTATTGTCTTAAGTTTCTGCTTCATAGAGCCTGTTAGGTGTTCTGTCTGTATGGCTGTTTTGTAGTGGAAGTGGCTATACTGGGTGTGCCAGTCTGTGGATAAGCCTAGTAACTGTCTGGATTGTCTGGATGGCTTGGCGTTGTCGGACGGAGTCTTCTTCGTTTCACTTCCAAGTTCTGTAGACATTGTCTCTTCATCTGACTCACCAAACGTTAATGGGGTATATGCCCATTAGAGCTTTTCCATGTCCATATGAGTGTCCTCTGCCCAAGTATAGGTGGCATCTATTTCTTCCTCTGAAGTTTCTAGTCAGCTGGGTATCTTGCTTTTGCCTGCTTCGAGCATGGTTGACCGTTGATTTTTCTTTTGTTTTTATTGCATTTTGAATGCCTAGTGTAGCAGGTGGTTGGGAGTGGGCAAGCTTGCATTCCTGGGGTCATTGGGCTTATATGTTGCTATGGCGGGTGAGCCTTTTGGGCTAACTCTTGGCTGTTTATTGTGGATTTTAAGCGAATTTGAATAAATAAGAAAGAGTTTTTTTTTGTTAAAATTAATATATAGATTATAATTCACTATATTAAACTTATAGTAAATTCAATACTGGATTGGTATCAAAATAATATCATTAGGAATCTTAGTTGGGCCTATAAATATGTATATTGTTTTATTAGAATTGAAAAAACAAAAAATATCAATATAATTTTGTTAAGTTTTTTATATATATTGTTATATATCATTTCTATCTCAAAAGAAAGATAAAGATAAAAAACTGGTAGCAGGAAGGTACTTTAAATAGACAGAGCCAATATGGTATGCTAAAGTTCCTAAAGACATACAAATTAGTACAATTCTGAGATATATGAGGTTGAGCAAAAGAGATAATAGTGATTTGTTTTATAAAGGTTAAGATATTTATTCAATAAAATATATATTCAAGCTTATCAATTACTAGGCAAAATTGGAGCCTTTATATATATGTTTAAGTTATAATATTTTCATACAAAATAAATATATGCTATAGTAAATATATAAACTAAAATATAGATACTATCTTTATTACAAAGAAATATAAAAATTTTCTTGAAACATCTGTTTTTTGTATTGGCAAAAAGATCTATATTTTTATTATCTTTATTAATATAAGAATTAGTTATATTTATGTATGCTTTTTATTATTTTAATTATTTTAATTATTTCAATTATTCTTTTTATCTTGATTATTTTTTTTTATTTCACTTATTATTTTTATCTTATTTATTTTTATTATAATAATTGTTATAAAATCATGTAATAATTTACTTCTTGTTTTTTATAATAATATAAATGAAATTAAAAAAAATTATAAATTAAAAATAAATAAATAATTTTTTTTTAATTTTATATAAAAAAAATATTATAAATAATTAATGCAATATATTATTTTTATAAAAATAAAAAAATTAAATAAAACTTTTAATAGTAAAACTTTAAAAACATAATTATTTATGAAATTATAAATAATTATATAAATTGAAAATTTGGTTAACAACTTTTTAGACAAATTGTATAAATACTAAAATATTTAAAATAAGTATAATAAAAATTAATATATTAAATTATTAATTTATTATATTTACATATTGAGTTATAATTAAGATTTATTTTATTAAATTACGAATAAATGATATTAGATCAAATCAATTATTTGTAACTAAAGTATATTGTTTTAAATATTAATTTATTAAATAAAATATATTTTAGAAATTTTTTTTTAATAATTAATACTATATTTAAATAATATAATTAATTAAGGCAAAAAAATATTTTAATTGAAATTGTTTATTATTGCTAAAAGATTTGTATTTAATTTTTTTATATCTTTTAGATGAATATTCCTTAAATGATAGAGCAATTTTTAATTGTTTAAAAAATTTTTCATAAAATTTTTCAGAAACCGCTGTATATCAAACAATCCAAGGATTTTTTTTTCGTAAAATCATATTCCAGGTTTGAGACTTTTGGATTAAACAAAATTTTAAAATTTAAATTTAAATGGTTTAATAGATTTGAAAAGAATAAATAAAATTTTTATTCGAAAAATAAATTAGTAAACATAACAATAAAAGTGTATTTAAATTTGATAAAGATTTTATTATATAGTAAATAAAATTTATACCTAAGAACAAGGTTTACTTAATATGCAAAATCTAATTTTATTAATAATATAAAAAGGTCAATATAAAATGAGAGGATAGTCAATTTTTTGTAATTTAAATCATGATTGTATTGATAAATAAATAAATAATAACCAATTACCTATTATTATTGTTGTTTTTATTTTTTTAAAAAAATCAAATCGTAAAATTTTGCAAAGTAAATAATTTAAAAGGCCTATTTCACATATTAAAAAATAGATAAATGACATTGTACATTTCGTTGATTTTTGAGAAATATACAGTATATACGGTATACAGTACAAGAATTTTCCAAAAAATAAAAACCATTTATTTGCTTATACGCCTATTAATCAATATCGTATACAAGAAATATATCTATTTCGAATATTTAAATGTTCTTAAATGCTCCTACACACACAAAACCATTACACATAAAAAAAAAAGTTGGCTTGATCTTTTATAATAATTTTTTTTGAAGAATTTTTTTCACAACAATCGTATTCGAACTTCATTGCGCTTAATTAGAACATCAATGTTGTATTTTGAATAGATTAGGATTTGGGCAGATGCAAATGGTTCTCTATTTCACATGCATTTTATGTGTCTTTTAAAATGACATTTTTACAAATTTTAATTTATTTTTCCATTAATCCTATCCTTTAATAGTAACCCAACGATACAATAATACAAATGATTTTGTCGAATTTTATATTTTTGGAAAATAATAAATTATATCCGTAAATAATAACAACAATAAAAATATTTTTCGTGTCTGATTTAATCTACTACACCATAATGCGGATTTCGTTCCTTAACCGACTTAAATATAGATAGGTGTTAATGGATAATGCTTGCTTGAGAGATACGACCATATGAACTCGTTTACAAACAATACTCCATTACCACCAATACCCACGGTTTTTAGTTTCTTTTGAGCGGAATTCTCGTTTCGAATTCAGGAGTAATGAGGAAATTGTACTGGGCTTTCTTGTTGAATATGAATGCCACATTAGAGTTTATCGAATGTGAGAATACAATAGATCAGGTGACGAGGATTCTCATTTTTCATAGTCCGTCGCTATCTTCGGCTTGCAGGAAAGCAGTAGAGTCTGCAGATAGCTCTTTTGTTGGAGCCTTTATATTCATCCATAATGGTAACAACAATAATAATAAATAATGGGACCAAATAGTAAAATCATAAGACCTTATGTGCAGCATATCGCAACAATTTAACAATGAAATGCTTTCAATTTTTCAAACGCATACTACTCGCTAATTTATGTTATAAATGCAATATTTTATAACAGAATAAGGCTGACCAGCTAATGCCTTTTTAATTAGATACATTCGTTACGTTTGTATATTTGCTAGGACCGACCCCCTGGCCATGGGCATCACGTGATTATGAAACAATGTTACATGATTTAATTAATTGTTCAATAGTCTTGAGAAAATGACAAATATCAAGACAATATTCAACTGTGCATTCGCTTATCACCGAAGATAATTGTCTGAATCAAAAATTGCGTGAGAAAAAAAAATGCAAATGTTTGTATATTCATGAATTGTGACAAAAGAGCATGCCTTTGTTTACGTGTTATTTTCGCGAATTAATCGTTGTTTTCCAATTATGGAAATTACGGAAAGAGAACTAATGTTTTCTTTGCGCATGAAATAAACAGCATGATTTGTTCGCTGCATGGGATTACGCGAACCATAATGCATTATCACAAATTTTTATTTACACGTACAAAGAAGTATCCAACGTTAACGTATATAATAGATCAGGATGATATTGTAGGAACCCTAATATAACACTATGAAATATTATCAGGAGGGTACTAAGGTCCTCATTCTATATTTAACGGGCATGCATTTTGTTTTCTAAATGTGGACAATATTAAAAACAGATATAGCATCTTATTTCGCGAATTTCTTTGTTTCCTATTGTAGGAAAGAAGGCTTATTAGGAGGAGAGAACATCACCAAGTTTTTATTTTAGTTCCTCGCGACGTGGAGTAATAATTATACACTTGTTCTTATTTAAATAATGTCCAAATAATTTTGAGAGATTTACAAAAATGCCACACCCAAACTTTTGGCAAATCAGCCCGTTCACTAATTAGTGTGCCAAAGAAGGAAGTTTTTCCAGGCCCTGAATGGTGAATTAAAGGTCACAGAGGAAAAAGTATTTGTTTCCTTTACTCATATTAATTGATTATTACATAAACATTACGTACGCATTTGGTGAAAGAGAAAATTCGCCGAAGGGAAAGGCTGTGAGCAACCGCAGTCGGAAAAGCCTTGCCAAGGTTCATCGGCCGATTTGGTAATTGTATGAATCAGTAAAATCGTCGAACGATTCATGAAGATGAATATACTCTTGGCATATGTATGTAAATCACCTCTTCTTTTCGAGGAATGACGATATTATTCACGTGGTGGTACAGCATTGCTAACATAAAAGGAGAATTCAAATGTCCAGCCACATGTCACAGCCCTTTGCCATATCCACTAGATTGTTCGTCACATCATATTTAGTGACGTCACGTGGGGCAGTGTAAAATACGAATAACTTTTCGCGTAGGGTGGCGTTCAACTCAAACGATTTTTAGATAAGGATTACCTAATAATTGATTCTCTTGCGGATAGAAGTAGCCAATCAGCTTTCTCAGCTAAGGTAAATAAATAAATAGGAGACATGAAACTTGTGCATTCACAACATTCACACTATTATTCCTGTATAAAAAAAAAAAAAAATCGAATAAAGTTTAAAGTGTTTACCGTGACACCGCTGACAACGCACGCAGATATTATATGATAGATTAAAATTTCGCGTTTTTCTTTTCTTTATTTTATAAATCAAATTAGCATGCTAAGAATTCTTTTATGCAAACAGTATTGTTGGCAACACATATGCCACAAGAATCAGGAGTCTTTAATAAATAAAATGAGATTAAATGTAGATAAATTTGTAAATACATACTGTGTGCTTTCATCGTTTCAATAGAGTGACACGTTACATTCCAAATATTTCCTAATTTCATAAGATAGGAAAACTGCAGTATGTTATGTACACTTGGTACTCCGTTATCTAATCCATCATCTTTGCTTACAGAATTATTACCAGGGTAAAACACTCGGGTAACTATGCATTCAGGCTTTATTAGAATATTGTCCAGATCTCCGAAGCACTTTACTCACGAGAGAATACCTGCAATCGCATGTTCAAAGTCATCCAGATTAATTCATGATTTTCCCATTATACATTCTAAAAAGAGTTCTTGATACAGTTTGATGTGTTTCTGCGAGATGCATAGAACCGCCGCGAACATAAAATAGCACCTTGTCCTCATTTGTAAGCACAATCTCCAAATCGGTCTCCTAACTCAGGAACGCTCTTCGTCAGGATTCATGAAGAACGACCTTCCAATAAAAACGCACCAATCAAATTTAAATAGTAAAACGTTCTTTCTTTTTTTACGGCGCAGCCGGTTCTTTAATATAAATTTATTTGGGGTGGAACGGCTACACAGCTTGGTCAAACGAGCACACACAGGTTAAGGATGATAAGTCAGGGATTTGGTCATGGGAACTTTTGTATGTACAAAAAAAAAGACGCGTAATACAATATGAATACAATAGTTTTCTAATTTGTTCAACGGCTCTTTTCAGTTAACATGTATACATTCTAAAATATAAACATAGATACGTATATATTTGTATTTTCATGTGCTTCTATATGTTACGCTGGGACTTTATTGTAGGTCTCCTCTGTTGGCGTAAAAAAAATATATCCAATATCAGGAGTACAAAGAATTCCAGCGTCTCATTGATTTATTGTATTTCATCGGAATTTTATATAGAGAATCTTAGATCATGCCGAATATATTTCCTTCAATATTGTAAGAAGTAAAATAATAATAAAATGGAGTGCTCCAAAATATCACCACATCAATGAGTCATTGCAAGAAAACGCGTTTCTATCGTATTACTCACGTGTATGACACGTGACTAATGTCAAAGCGACTGCGGAATCATGTTTTTCGGAAAATATCACATGTGATGTGAAATCCATCTTGATTGAAATCATTATCCCGTTTATATTGTACAAGGTATCATTTAAAAGTACATGATAGCGTCACCCGCGAGCCCAATTCATATCTCTCTCACAACGGTCAGTCGGCCACTGAAACAAATTGGTGACGATTAAACTAAAATTAAAATTTAATTTCAGAGGATCAGATAGGATTCATTTACAGGGGATTTTTTTTTTCTTTATTGTAAGCATTATAATTTCATTTAAAAGCAGAAATTAATTAATAATACGCAATTGGACATTTAATGAGATTGATATATTTGGAAGAGAATAGAGAAATGCGATGACGCCAGAAAATTACGGGGCCGTCGATTCGAGCATAATAGCTTTAAAAACTTTATTGCGTGAATAGATTATGTTTCTTATTAACCAATTAACGCATTAATTGCAGAGCGACAATTCTCCTTCGAAGGGTCAGCGCGATAGGTTTACCCGCAAAATGTACAATGGGGGGTGGGGGAATCAAAGAACTCCATTCTTAGAATGGATTCATCAAACGCGTGTTGCGATTTTCTTGGAAAAGATTGACCTTGATATGTTATTGGTTTTATTTATGTTTACCATCAATTTTTTCGACATGGCTTCGAGAGATTAATTAATTAATTTTGTATCTCTCCACTTACTTATGATATACAATGAACCTAAAATGGTATATGCCATTTTTGACATTTTTTTATTAGTACATCGTTAAAGTTGAAAATTACCTTGTCTTCAATGCACATTTGACCAATTTATTTAAATTTATTAGTGAGAACAAGATAAATTTGGTAATGGCAAAATTCGAAATTCACCTTAAGCAAGGATTAATGGTGAGATTACAAATAACGATGAAGAATAACAATCCAATTCTTGTTTTCCAAATTTTGACGCATACCGGTAGATTCCATCTACACTTGTAACGTAAAACAAATTTTTACTTGTCATGCAAAGGAACCAATACCCTAGATCAGTATTTGACCATTGTCATCTTTATCTGCTTTAATGATCCGACAACTAGAGGTCACAATAATAATAATAATAGCAAGATGTCCGTCCTAGCTTCAATGGGACCAAAAAATTTTTTGTAAACGGTACACGATAAAACATTGATAGTGGACATTAAAAAAATTTTCAAATTCAAACCCATATTAGGAGCGACCGTCACCGTGATCGACTGCGTGATCCAAACAAACAAATCGGTGGCTCCTCCTATATGCCGATTATTAAATGCTAGCGTATTATGCAAAAATCAATAGTGTTTCCTCGAAGAAAGTTTTTCCCAAATCCTATCATCATACGTGAGAATTTCCGTAGAATTCTAAATCCGCCGCTATACCCTTTCTGAAAATTACAATCGAATGGTTACACATCTCATCGTTGAATTATCATGGAGCGTGAAAACATCTAAACCGTCAAGGACACTCGGCTAGCATTTATCAAAACATGCAGTGATCGGTTATCGAGAGCCAATAGAAAGAAAATAAATAAATAAATAATTTTTATATTTCATATGATCATTTTGTTTAAGTCCCTCTAAAACATGTATATCCCTTTGACATTATGATTATTTTTTTTAACAATGCTCTTCAAAGCGATTCCCGAAAGTATTTTATCAAATCCAATGGAAAAAGAAAATGCATATGTTTGCATGGTTATCGTACGATTCAACATTGTTTGAATTTATAAAAGGGTAAATATCGTCGCATGAAAAAGGAATTCCATTCATACGAAGCATGACATTCAAATTATCGAATGATTGGAGTAATACTAATCAAATGTTACGAGCGTCAATTCCATTAATGGATTCAGTCATTAATTGTTTGAATTTTGAAATAATGCGTGTTTGAGTTTTTGATTTTTCTTTGAAAAAAGTGTTGCACGATTGGAGACAACGGTTCATAACATTCGAACGATTGTTACTCTTGAAAAGAGAAAAATAGGTGACCAAATTATTCTGATGAATGGCATGCTAAACGATTGGTCGCTGACATGGGTGCTAATGTAACAATGGTAACAATGATTTACTGTAACTTGATAAAAGTAAACGTTCGGTAAATGTCCAATCTTTATGCATCACAGGGATATGTCGGTTAACTTATGTATCACGGGGATATGTCGATTAACCAATCAGAGCATTACTTCATTCATAACTATTTAAAGAATCAATCTATCAGGTGATCATTGTAAGATGACCCGCAAACAATTATCGCTAACTGACAAAGTTTAAAGAGTACTCGAGTATTTGACATGATGGTGTCATGGGAACCTAATGCCATCAGTGATGAATATATTCTTGACGCGCGAGGCAAACATTAAACTTATAACTTGGAGGCACGCGTGCAGTATGTATATTAATTACGATCCACAAATAAAAGAAATGCATATTATTTATTGAATATAGATAGGTTCTTTATCACAACCATAGAGGAAAATCGAAAAGCAATTTTTCGTGAAATGAAATATATATAGGCGTATATATGAAACTAATAAAGATATTAAAAAGGGTGTGTTCGATTGATTATCGAAAAAACACAGGGTTACGAGAAAAGAAAGGTGTCTTTTTCGTATGTTTGTAAGAGTTATATTTTATGTGTATAACTTTTCGGGAGAAAAAAAAAAGAAAAAAAAAAAACGTAAAACGTGAAGATTTGGTGTGATATCGTCCACACGCAATACGATAGTATTAAAATTAATATTTCGGGTGTGACGAGAAAACGAAGAAAACATGCATAATCATTTAGACACTCGAGCATACAATTAAGTGTTCTTAAAGAGATTTTTGAGAGATTTCCAAGAACGAATATATATTATTATTAAAAAAAAAAGTAACGAAATATTATATAATATAAAAGAAAGATAGATTCAGACTTCTCAAATAAAAAAAAAACTTTGTGAATTTTTTTGAAACGACAACGATCGAATTTTTTTTTTTTTTTGAAAACAAGGAATTTACGATCGTGTTCCTTTTTCGCGAAAACCTATATTAAGCATGAGCCGCTGTTGCATAATCCCATTCGTTTTGATTGGCCTCATCCATATAATTAAATGATGCCGTGGTCAAGGAATGGACGTGAGGTAACGATGGCATATGAAATGTCGACGAGGTATGTGGAGACGAATACGAATTAGACAAAGGCCTTGTCGAACGCACTGAAGGCCTATTAAGTATGCTTGATGAATATTGAGTGTCCGATATTGACGGAAACGGAATATGTTGCACACTCGTGGAATGCAGGTGATGACCGTGATAGTGATTATGAGTGAGAGCGTTATCTCCCGCGTAATATCGATGGTGCGACCGTTGCGAATCGTCGATTTGAGCTAAAGAGCCGATTAGCGGTTGACTTATGACATCCGACACATTATTGACACCACTACTTCTTCTTCGTTGCGGTTGACGTACTCCTGATCCTTTCTGGGGAGAAGGTGGTTTCGGGAACTTTTGATTATAAATACGGCTGGCCTCTTTCGCAATGTCCTCATAGTGTTCAACCACATGTTCCGGCTCTCCTCTCCATGAGCTGGCCACAGCCGCTGAGACACTTCTCATGGGTAATCGGTGTTCTCTCGCGTGAAGCTCTTTGACATACTGCATTCGATAGATCATGAATGCATTGGGAGGTTTTGTGGGTGCTTTTGATTTTGCTTTTCTTGGTCTGGTTATAAGTTCTTCCGGATTTACCAAAGGTGGAAAAGGTACTTTTATGAGGGGTATTGGTGGCGCGGGTCTGTTGGTCCGTTGATTCGGGGATGCGATCGAGGATGATTCATCGACAATAATCCATTGGTGATTATTGTTATGATTATAAGATTGCTGTGGATATTGTAGTAATTGATCTGGGACGCTTGGATGAGTCATTTTTTTTACTGATTCTTTTATTATTATTATTCTTCTTTTTTTAGGAAAGCAAAAGGGAATTATTTAATGGTATTGGGGTCTTTGTACGATATCAAAAGATATAGACAATTTGGTCAAAGAAAGAAAATTTTTTAAACCCAAAGGAAAAATTGGTGCGGTTTTTAAAGTAAATTACAATTCATTGTTTGTGAGAAGCTTCACCTATAGAGGTCATTTGCCTTGGTAGACATAAATAACGAGTGAATTAAGGAACACACGCTAGGACCGAATTGGGGATAAATACGTTAAAAGTTGATCCTAACGCTTTAACCAAAAAAACCGGTAGGGTCGCAACAGGATGATTAAATACCAATCCAAGTGAACGCCTTATATTAATAAAATAACATTTACACAGCCGTAGCATATACTGTATATATACTGTATATTTGAACATATTTTACAGTACATAATATTTAAACTGCCATCATATAAAAAAAAAAAAAACTTCCAAAACAAACAAACAATAGCATTTCAGTGCAACTAAAATCAATGCGTGGTCTTGAAAAAAGTGGATATAATAAAAAATAATAATACAAGACATCGTTTGCAAACAACATCCCATTGCAGCAGTAGGAATGGGTAAGGTTTGGGAAGATGCCTTGGATAACTTGAGCAAAAGGTTTGTACGGTATAGTTAGAAATTAAATTTACACATGAAATTTGAGCAATCATATTCTAATACATGGATGCCATGCTCGGAACTTTTTTTTTTTTTTTGTAATACGTGAGATCACTTCATCGAATGTGGCTTGTGTGGGAATTCTTTTTTGTCCCACCTAGTCGGTAATTAATTCAAATTTCCAAAATGGTCAGAAAAATGTTTGGAGTCAAAAAGAAAATTAAAACAACTTAATAATGAAATTAGATGATGGTGCAAGGTGTGAATGGAAATCTTTTTCTTAGAACCGAGAACCTTTTTTAAAAAAATCTGCTTTCTTTGAAGCAATCAATAATGTTAACGTCGGTCTTTGCGGCATAAGTCAAATTGGGTATTGATTCACCTGTGCCACATTTTTTTTGGGAATTCGCCGTCGACCCAAGAAATTTTGAGCTGCAAACATTGAGACCCTAGGATTTGAGATATAATTCATTCTCTCATCTCGTTCGTTTTAATCTCCTAAACAAGAAATTCGAATCTTGCGCCTTGAGGTGTTTTAATCTATGTACGATCACCTGAAATAAGCCCCAAAGAGGCATTCATATGAAAATAACCAAAAATCTCGGGTTTCCGCTCAATTGCGGATACAATAGTAAATGAAGTCATAGTGTTTTCGAAACAAATTCATGGTTTCAAGGAATTCCCAAGGTTTGATGTCAAACCTAGCAGAGTTTTTGAAAGAGTAGTGAACGGTAAGTAACTTCACTATTTCAGTCTGTCAGTCGGGGTAGAACTTGTGGTAAATCAGATGATGTTTTGTACCACATATCACGAAAAAATAGCATCACAAAAAAAAAGTTTGCTGGCGCGTTCTCAACAGAGATTTTTGAATACCTTTTCACCTCCTTTTGGCTTTTTCTGTGCTGAGGGATGTTGTAGCAAGAACACGTAATTTGATTATGTACACTGTACCTCTTCGCAACCGAGACACAGGCAATAATCACGTGAAGAAACAGAAATGTGTGGTCAGTCGGTCATAACCAATGAATAATATCGATTTCTTCATATGTTTTGAAGACAAAAAATGATTTGATATTATAGACTCATGAGCCATCCAGCTAGTAAAAGAAAAAATGGTTGAATCTGAAATCCAAAGAAAGAAATTAAAAATAGCCTGATAAATCGAATAGCCACATTCACTTCTAAAATCGATACTTATCTATCTCCATCCAGCACCAAGAATTTGAATTTTTCTTCTTTGCACAATGCAACAAATAAATCAGTAAAACAAGGACAAGTATGCAGTCCGTGAAAATCTTTTGTTGTCCCTTAAACAATTCCGTTGTGTTCCAATAATCATCCTTTCACATTGAAACTGATTTGATATTGTATACGCTTTAATAATAGGTTTTTTTTTTTTTTTTTTTTTTAAATGTCGAAATTTCGATTCAACATTGTGTTCAAATAATGATCGTTGTTTCATACTGAAATTCCGATTTAATGTCGTATTAATTTCAACAATCATTCCCTCAAATTGAGAATTTCGATTAAAATTTTACATGTACTTACATATTATGAAGACGTCCAATTATTCCATAACAGATCAATACATTAAAGATAATCTTGTACACCGGTTTAGAATAAGTGAATTACGTACAAATATACTGCAGATATAACACATGCATTAAAGTATAGCCGACTCATACCGAATTACAGTATGGGATGTAAAATCTATGATTTCGATCGTAACATTTCGAATCTTGGAACTTTAGAAACCTGATGTTTCAACATGACTTCAACTTCCAGGAAGAATCCAATAATTTGTCTCACAGTAATGAAATATCTCTTTCGGTATGATGTTTGGAAAATATTCAATGTTGTTGGGGTCATCAAATATTATTCTTTGATAGGCATCAGAAATAGATTGAGCTAACTTAATTTGTTTTTTGTTTTGAAATTTAAGTGTCTTAATGATAATAAATAATTTTTTATGGAAATATTACGTCTTTTTTTTTTTTTTAATTAAATATTTAATTGAAGAAAGCCCCATTGATCCATTGAGATGAACAAGTGTTAAGCACCAGGAAAAAATGAAAGAAAGAAAGAAAGAGTGAGCATTGCACTTTTCGGTTTCATCATATTTAGTCGACACGAAGGTGATTTTTTTCCTGATAGCACAACTGGCGAGTATAAGAATATAAAATCTTCTCCAGATTTGATCATGGTAAAATCAATACATTTTCAATATTACGAATATTACGTGAGTTGGATTTTCCGGAGATGTGATAGAGTAAGTAAATTTCGTGTTTTAAAATTCTTCATTTGAAATTATGCCTAACTTTTTTAATAAAAAGAAAATTTCGCTCAGGTTTACGTGTTGTCACCATAATTGAAATACTTGATTTATGTCTTCTTTTATAACAATATTGCATAAACAGATCATTAATGATTTGCAAGACTAGATTAACGGTTCATCAACAAATTTGCATCAATAAAACCTATATCAAATACATCAAATCAATTGTTTCGTGTTCATCATTTTTTTCTCCAGATATTGTTTCCAGATTAAATTAAATAAATATATTAATAAAATAAAATAAATATTAAACATATTATGATTGAAATTCAAAGTTCTTTGAAAAATTAAAGATTTCAAATGCGATAATATAAGATATCGATTGAACTATCGCACGGTCAAAGTTTAAAATTTGGTACTTATTGTGAAGGTTAGATCGACTCCGATTACGTGACACGTAGATCAAGAATAACCAGAATAGTGGAATCCTAGGAATAGTAAAAATAGCAAAGATAGCATTTATAAATTGACATGTATATAAAGAATTTTCAAAATATGCGGCGTTTTAAAAGTTTATGATAGTAAGAGAATAGAGCATTAATAATGAAAAATACTCGAATCAATTTCATTCCATGCCTCAAGCCTTAAAGGTTTTGTTATTAAAAACTACAAAAGCCTTTGGTTAATTATATTATCAGAATTTCTTCTTGTTTTTATATCAAGATTAATTTAGATTAATATTTACATAAAACTATGTTTTAATTTCTATAGAGAGTATTATTATAATTAATTAAAATAAATATAAAAGCAAAGATAAATTTGTAAACGTAATATAAAGTATACGTATATGCATATATATAATCTTTATAAATAAATAAAAGTCTAATTAATTTTTTTTAAATAATTTAATAATCATTTATTCAGATTAAATAAAATTTTAAATATTATAGTAGTGGCATAAAATTTTTTATATTTAATTTTTTACCAAGTTCAAATATTAAAAAGTCCATCTATTGTAAAAAATTTTTGAATATTCAAAAAAAAAATCTTTTTATAAAAAATTTTATAACTTTATAAGATCACAAATAAAATAAATAAATATTTTTTTTAATATTTTTTTAATATTTTTTATTATCATATAAAAAAAATTATAAAATATTTGTTATTTTTTTATTTTTAAAAGTATTTTAAATCATAAATTTATTATAAAAAAAAAAAGACATTAAACTTATTTATAAATTTTATAATATTTGAATTAAAAAATATAATTTTTTTTGTTTATTATAAAATTACAACTTTAAAAAATTATAGGTTGTTTAAATTATATGTTATAATTTTATAATTTCTATTTTAAATACTTGAAATTTTTATTATATAATAATTTTACTATTTTATAAAAAAATATTTATAAAAATAATAATGTGATAACTATATATACATATATATTTTTTCTATATAGTTTTTTTATGTAATTTTTATTTAAATAATTAATTATTTTTAATTTATTAACTTTTGATATTTCAATTTAATCAAAAATATTATTAAAATAAAAAATTAAATCCTTTTATTAATAGTAAAAAAATATTATTATTATTTTAAAATATTACTAAATTCTTTTTTTAATTAATATTGATATCACATAATTTAATACAAAAAAATTTATAATATAATTTTTTATGAATAAAAAAAGAATATTATTTTATTATTATTATTATTATATATTTATTTATTAAAATTCAAAATCAAAATTTTAAAATTTTATTATAAAAAAAAGAAAATCATTTTTTATTAACTTTTAATTTATTTGAAATCTACAATAAATACTGAAATTTTTTTTTTTTTTTTTTTTGTTGATAAAAATTATTTCTTTATTTTATTTTTTTTTTGTTTGT